GGCGTTGTCCGAGCAGAGGCGCCTCCCTCCCGCTGTGCCTGCCCAGCCGCCCTTCCAGGCACAGCCCTGAGGCTGAGGGAGGGACCCAGACGGGAGCGGAGCTGAGGCTGCGCTGCACAGAGAAGGGCAGGGTCCCGCGGGGTGACAGGGAAGGGCCCACGGAGGCCTCAGAGGGGGCAGGGCCCACGCACTGGACGCCAGGAGCCGCCCTCGGGCTCAGCCTCCGGGCAGTGAGCACATGCCTCGCAGGGCGAGTTGGGAGCCCGCAGGCTATGGGGGACCTGCTTGGGCAGCTCCTAACTCGGTTTCCTCCCACCTCAGTGCCCCCCCACTGTCTTCCTCGGGCGCTCGCCAGGGTGCTGTGGGCTGGGTGGGGGCACAGGGGCCCGGGGAGGGGGCTTGTCCTGTCCACATGCTGAGTGGCAGGGGCTCCGTGGGCCGCAGCCTTTGTGTGATGTTTGCCCAAACCACAGTGTGTCCGCCAAAGCTGATGGGCTGCCCACTGGGAGCTGAGAGGGGAGAGACCGGGCCCACCTGTGTCTGCGCCCCAGGGCCCCGCACCCCAGGCCTGTGCCCCCTGAAAACCACGTGCCTGGGACCTGGGCTGTCTTCCCAGCGTCTGGGGAAGAGGGCAGGCTGTGTGGGAATAGGGGGGACGAGGGGTGGAGACACAGGCGTGTGTGGAGGGTGGGGTGCGGGAAGGACGGACTCCCTGACTGTGGCTTGTGTTGCAGGTGTCCCCGTGCGAGCGCTGCCGCTGCGAGGCCAGCGGGGAGGTGCTGTGCTCCGTGTCCGCGTGTCCCCAGACCGAGTGCGTGGACCCAGTGTACGAGCCTGACCAGTGCTGCCCCATCTGCAAAAATGGTAGGTGGTGCGCGCATCCACCACGGGGTGCGTGTCAGCGGGGTGCGCCTCTGTGCGCCCCTCCATCCGGTAGGGGTGGCGCGCATCCACCACGGGGTGCGTGTCAGCGGGGTGCGCCTCTGTGTGCCCCACCACTCAGAGTTCCCCCGTATTTCCTGGCGTGAAAGGTGTGGATACGGGAGGGGCCAGGTGTCCACACAGCAGGTGCACGTCTCTGTGACCTCCAGGCCCTGGGCTGCCGGGAGCCGCCCAGTAGGAGGAAGGAGTTCTCTGGTGGTGTTGTCCTTGCTGTTTTTAAAAATGTTTTTATTGATGTCAGAGAGGAAGGGAGAGGGAGAGAGAGGAACATCCATGATGGGAATCACTGATCGGCTGCCTCCTGCACGCCCCCCACGGGGACGGAGCCCGCACCCGGACCTCTGCCCCAACCCGAATGGAACCGTGACCTCCTGGTTCCCAGGTCGGTGCCCAAACATAGAGCCTTGGCTTCCAGCCCTCCCTGGTCGTCTTCTCACCTTGAAAGGGTAAACCGTTTGGAATTCTTGGTACAATTTTTGCTTGAAAAGTGAAGACAGTTTCTATGAGAACGGAGCGCTCTGCAGTGACTGAGTGGGATTGGTGACTAATTCACGGCCGCTGTCCACGCGCTCCCACACAGAACGCTCCCACAAAACACAATTAAACGCTGGCAGCTCACAGGTTACGGGACATCAACAACGGCGCCTTCTGTGACAGTAAACGCTCAGGTGGACTTGGCTGAGGGGACTAGGGCGGTCGGGGCTGGTGACCACCGTGGGGGCCCGGCCTTTGCCCACCCTCCGACGCCCTGACCTGCAGCGTTAAACAGCTCTTCCCCCGACGGAGGGGAATCGCCGCTCCCTCGCAGCTGCCAGAGTCGCTTACATCAGAGCAGCAAACATCTGGGGCCAAGAAAGCCTGGAACATAAATAAATGATCACTAAGCAAATGCGACTTCGTCTGTTCACTCGGTTGGCTTGGGTGGTTCCCTCTCTCGAGGGTTTTCTCTTGATAAAGTGGATGCTTGAGTGGCCGTGTCTTTGTTTCCCCCGAAGACGTGAACGGGGGGGTCAGGCTGACCTTCGAGGTTCCCGGTCACTCTGGTGGTGGGTGCGTGCAGAGGTGAGGTCCCAGGCCCGTCCCACCTGACCCCTCCGTCCTGGCTGCCTGTGGACGTGGGTGATCAGAGGTCCCAGGTCTGCACGCGGGCACCCACCGCTCCTGCATGTAGAGGGGACCCCCGGGGCCTGCGGGCCTGGCTCTGACTCTCCAAGGGGAACGGCTCCCCCAGGAGGGCGCCGCGTTCACAAAAGCACGCGGGCGCTGGTGACAAGGATGGATGGTCCCTCAGCTTCGCGGCCGCTGGGTGGCGGTTATCCACAGCGTTACTTCCACCAGGAAACCCAGGTGGCTGCTTTGGGAAGAAAATGAAAACGTATGTAACATTTTTAAGACAAATGCTGAGAACTCAGATTATTAGAGGCAAGTTCCTGGGGAATATGTGAGATGCACGGCTAAGAATTAGAGTCTGAGTTTTCCCTCCTGTGTATTTCAAAGAATAGGGTAAGATCACAATTTAACCACAGGTGGTGAGCTGGACAGAACTGCATGGTGTGTGTCTATGTGTGCCTATGATCTGTACACATATGTGCATGTGTATGTGCGTGTATTCATGTGTGTCTCTCTGTGTGTGTGTGCCTGAGTGTGCACATGTGTGTCTGTGCATGTGTGTGAGTCATATGAAGATCCTTCTCACCAGGAAAGGCTGGCTCCTATATGGCCTCACGTCAAATCTTTCCAAGATTAAGAGCCGCTGTTCATCATACAACGGTGTTGAGCTGGTGCAAAGCAGCCAGTCCACATATTTGGAAAAACATACATGCAAGGCATGTGTCTGGCAAATGACTACACAGTCCCAACACGCCAGAACCGCGTGGAGAGATAGAGAAATACAAGTGGAGTCCCAGCTCTCTTTGGGCCCATGTCCTCCTGGGCCTGCTGCTCAGGGGGACACGTTCCAACTGAGTTTCAGGTCCTGGGGCCACCCGCCCCCTTTCCCCCCACGACTGTAAGTTCTGTGGCCGGGCTGCTCCCGGGACAAAGATGCTGCAGGAAAACGGGGGCTCCCGTGAGTGGGATCAAAGGGTGCTGACTGCAGTGGCCACGAGGCGTCAGAGGAGCGTGGAGGAGGGACCGGACAGCACGCCATCTGAGCGCCTTGTGTCCGAGCAGGACTGTGGGGGCGACCTAACCCAACGGGCTCTGTGGCTGTGCTGTTGAATGTTTGGTCTCTTTGCTGATTTTCGGGGCGGAGTCTGTGTGGTGTCTGTGTGTGTGTGTGCAGGCGTGTGTGCAGGCATGTGGGCAGGCGTGTGGGCTGACATGTGGGCACTCGTGTGGGCTGGTGTGTGGGCACGCGTGTGGGCTGACATACTGCTGTTATAAGAGGCGGCGCTTGGTACCGACTTCACTGCGGGTGCAAAGGTGAATCGGTGCGTGGCCCCGGCCCCAGGAGCTCACCGACTGCGGCCCTGCAAACAGCGGTGTCTGTGCTTCACTGAAGGAAGAGGACGGGCGGGGGACCCCAGTAACATCGCGGGGAACACGCGTGGGTGGGGCCGCTGTTGGCCCTGGAATGACTTCACTGGGATGAACCCAGCAGTGACGCGATTGGGTCCAAGGCGGGACCTTTTTCTGATTCTCATCCGTAGCACCTGCTGTGCCACCAGGGCGCCTCTCACAGCGTCCGGTGTGACGACGCACTCGCTGCCCTTCGTGCGTGGGGGCGGAGCGGTGCTCGGGGTCAGTGTGACACAGCAGCGTCTCCGGCGCTGTTCTGCGCACACAGGCTCAGTCCCCTTAAAGGAGCACGCACGCTCTTGGTGTCTGAGAGCCGCTGGGGCGGGAAGAGCTATCGCACGCCCTGGGGGACCAGGAGGCCTTGGGGTGGCCTGCCCTGAACCCATCACTTTCTCAGCACCCCCAGGATCGGCGTCGGGGTGCAGACTGGCTCCCTGGCTGTGCCCGCTGCAGCCTGGCTTTTACTCACAGCATTGACGCTGGCGAGCACTCTGGCCGCCTCCAGCTCGCCCGTCTCGCTGCCCGCCGGGTGCGCCTCCTCGCTCACTGCAGGCGCGTCGCCTCCGGATCTGGCCCAGCTGGGCCCCGGCCCCTCCGCTCTCCAAGGATTCGCACATTAACCAACGGCACCAGGCCCAGCGCCGCGCCCCGGTGTCTGGCTCCTTCTCCGGCTGCTGGAATGAGCATCTCCCCAGACTCTCGTGCTCACTGCAGCCCGCGCCTCGCCCCACCGCCGGTCACAGCTGCCTCGGGGAGATGACTCCTGGTTAACTGTTCTCCTCCGCTGCTGCCTGGGGTCATGTTTACAGCCCGAGGCGGCGTGCGGTCTTCTCCCATGTCCTTGGCCTCCGGGCGTTGTTGGGGCTTCGGAAGCACGTCAGCGGAGAGTGTGGTGCGTGCAGCAGCCACTTGCTTTCCTGTGACTGCTCAGCTCAGCCCGCTGGGCCCCCTCTCAGAACCATGGGAGGAAGTCGGGGACTCCCTCCTTCTCTTCTGTCCTTGCAAGTTGTAGGGTTCGGGTTTATTTTCCTTCACAGTTTAAAAGACGTCGTTGCTGAGTAGGAGTCTCAGGACCGAGGAGCAGCTGTTTGCGTCAGAAAGGCTGCTCCGTGGGCGCCAGGGGCTGGGCGCTGCTGGAGTTCTCCCACCCCCTGCTCTCTGGGCCCCACCCCCTGTGGGATGTCCTGGGTGGGGTTTCAGAATCTGGGAAGTCACCTTGTCTGATCACTGGGGCTCCTGTCTGTTTGGCGAGTGGTAGTGACTCCTGCCTTCCGGAAAGTGTGCGCAGCCCCGTCCCCAGGAGGCGCTGTCTGTCTCCCCCGGTGCAGTGACGAGCGCCTGTCACGTCCTCAGGGAATAGCTCTCCTCATGGGCTAGAAGCTGCTCTGGCTCCAGGAGGTGCCCCCGGCCTGCTGCCCTGGGGTTCCCACAGCTTGATCGTCTGCGGGGCGACGGTGTCTTCACTCTGACTGCTCTTTGGGATTGTCACCATGGACTTCAGTGTGGATCTTCTTTCATTGAAATGTTACCCTTTGCTTTTGGAATGCTGATATTTTATTTATTTGTTTTTATATTTTCATTGATTTCAGAGAGGAAGGGAGAGGGAGAGAGAGAAACATCAGGGATGACAGAGAATCTTGGATCAGCTGCTTCCCACGCCCCCCTCCTGGGGCTCAAGCCCATAAGCCACAGCCCACAACGGGCCTGTGCCCTGGCCCGGAACCGAACTGTGACCTCCTGGCGCCGGCCAGGCTGCGGTGTTGAGGGTTTACGTGTCGGTTTTTTCAGTGGCAGCCGTACAGAGGGGCACTCCCCCGTCTGTGCACAGGATTTCAGGGCGACACGCGAACGTTGTGTCTGTGTAACAGTCATTTCACCTGCAGAAGAGCTGCGTTTTCAGGGGAGAAACGCCATCGGAGCACCTCGCTCACGGGCAAAGGGCTGCATTTGTGCTGCGCGGGCCCTCGCGGTAGAATCTATGGGGCAGACTTGGCTCAGTGTAAACAGACACCTGATGACGAGGCTGCTGTCCACTGACACAGACGCTCAGGCGGCATGACCTCCGGCTGCTGGACATGGGTGGGCACGGACGGGGGCCGAGCTTCTGCGACGGTGAACAACCCAACATCCTCTTCTGTCCACAAGATGGTCCAGCTCTCATTGCAGCATCCAGACGGCAAGGAAAGACTTGTTCCGAGAGAGGATCACGGGGGGCGGGATGGTGGCAGACGGGAGACGCCGTGACCAGGAGGCCTGCAGGCCTCGTCCGCTCGGCCGGTGGGCTCCTCTGAGGGACGGCGCCCAAGCAGAGGGAGCTGGTGTGGGAAGTGGGGCGAAGGGGGCAGGATGGGGTAGGAGACCACAGGACACATCTCCTGGGCCCAGCCTGTTCCGGGGGGAGG